CGGGGCCCGCCGCAGTTCCCGCAACACGGCAGGCCACAGTTTACTCGGACGATCTGGGTTCTTCTCGATGAACACATACAGAGCCCGAAAGCAAGGCGGCAACTCGCGACAAAGCATTGCCTGGCGGGCGACGTGGCCCAAGACTTTACGAAGCGACCTCCCCGAGCACCTCCGCCTCCTGAGAAGAAACTCAAACTCCTTTCCCGCCCAAGTAGTTTTCGCCCTTCCCCTGCAACGCCGAGACCGAGGAGAAGATCTCCCCCGACTGCGACGACATCGACTTCATGAACCTCCAATCCCACAACCCGAACGGCTTCCAACGACCGGGCAGTGAGCTCACGACGCGCATCAGGCGAACTCGAGAGAACTCCTACACTGTCAACATACACTGAGACACATCCATTTTCAGGTTCCCAAGTCGCCCTGTGATCCTGTAAGAGATAGGAGCTTGAGAACACCTGACACAAGATCCTCTCACGCATTAGTTGCACCATCACAGCGCGCGCACCCAGCCCATTGGCACGATAACAAGTCGAGGCCTGACCGCGCCACCGGTGCACTGGATGTCGGGGAGCAGCTTCTTCATCAGTTTCGCCATGATGGGGGATAGATGCAAAAATGTCCGCATTTCGGAAGGTGTTCCGAACCGACCCACACACAGCTGCTCTCCGGCATCAAGTCGCAACCGAAACGAGCCTCCAGCCGTCGGAAGCTCGACGCGGTCACAACCCGAGAAAAACAATTGGACTGCCGACGGTCGGCAATCAGACGCTGGACACCGCTTTTCTTACGCACGCTAGAAAGTCCTACGCAGGCGACTCCCTCCTCTTGCACAAACTCAACCACGTCACGTACAAACGACATCTGCAACGCCGACGCATATCGGCGAGCAGACCTGCGCAAACCGGGATCTTGGCACACCTTCTCCCCGCTCGCACCAAAACTTTGCGAGCCTACGAAGTTTTGCAAGACGTGCTCGCTTATCCACACTTGGCCGCGCGAGAGGGGGTCAATGGGGGCCGCCCCTACTGGCCGAAGCGAGAACAGGGACTCGTCCAGGAGAACTGCTGGCGAGCTCTCGCCAGAGTAGTCACGCCCACCGCTGTCACTCGAAAGAGCCTCGGCCGGCCGAGAATCCGCGGGGGGGGGCCATCCTGCTGAGACGTTCGCGGAGGTGGCCCACACTGTCCCCGCCCAAGAAGTCAGAAGCGCTGGCGGGGGCAGCGGGAGCGCCACCTAGATGCATGTCAAACAGAACGGAGGCCGCATCAGAACTGAGCCTACTCAACCACTGCCCAGGAGAGACAGTCAGCCCTGGGGGCCTTCTAACAGCACAGTTCGGACGCGTCTTCACCGATGCTTTCGCCCGAATAATTAAAAGACTGCAATCTGGCACGAGCGATGTTGGTAGCCGACCTGGCGCACATCTTGAATTAGCCGCTTCAACGCGATGCAGCGGGCCTCTCTGCACTGCCGGCTGCCGAGGGAGGCCGCCCCCTGCAGCTACGTGCGGGCTCATGACTTCCCGCCCCCACCGCGGCCACCTCCTCCGCCTGGGGGCTGACGGACAGGGGCTCGTTATTATCGTGCTTTCCTGGTTTGTTTCTGGATCTGCGCTTCTGTCTCCAGCTCCTTACTGACGTGCTCCACCAGTGCGGTCGAGCAGCAGACAGTCGGATTCACATGTTGGCGTCCCTCAAACGATCCATCTCGCCCTTCGTACTCACGGCGGACCCCGCGACCGACGCCGCCACACCTGCAGATCCTCCTCGCTCTCCGTCGCGGACCTTCTCCGCAGACTGATACTCAATTGTCTGTAGTCGGCGAGCTATCTTCTCTATCACGACAAGGCTAGACAAGTCCAGCTGATCGACGCAGCCTGCTGCCTCTAGATATCCGCACAATTGGGCATGTTCGGCAACACACCAGTCAGCATCATTCAATCTCGCCGTTGACCGCCACCACCTGCGATGATCCTCCAGGCCTGTGTTGCGACGAGCCATGAAACGAGCCACCCACATAGCAGTTCGCGGCCCCTTGATAGGCCAGTAGTCGCGCTCTCGTTCACGCTCTCGGCCACACTGTTCCACGGCCGCTGGCGCTCTCCAGTAGGTGCTACTTCACCGGCAAGACACGAGCATCACCAGCATCAGCATTTTCCCTCCGCCAAACATCGATCCTCGCCCGAGGCACCTTTTCCACAGCGAGCCGATCAGGACCGACCCGAGCAAGACCACGACGATCGACACGAACATCTGGATTGCCAACACACTCTCGTCTCCAACTGCGATAGTGGTGCTGCTCTCGGTGGGTAGCCAAACCTCTGGCTCTGCGGCCGCAGGCTGAACGCCCCCGACCGCCAATGCCACTAGATCTTGAGCCTCCTCCATCAGCCCTTGCAGCACGCCTCCAGCTGGTTCCGCACCCGGCCTGAAGTTGTATACGTTGGCTCCCTGCAGGCTGGCTGGGATGCTACCATCTGGACGAAAGGCTCGCACCCCCGTGATGTCGGCATTGTTCGGCCCGTAATCCTCCTCATAGAGGTCCCCAGGATTGTAAATCACCCAGCGAGTGTCGCCCACGCTGGCCAGAAGCAGCCGATCGTGCCACAAGTCATCGTCGTAGCGCACCAGCACCTTATGCCCTGGCGCTAACGACGAAGACACCACCGCTGGCGCCGCCGCCGCGGCCGGGGCGGCTCCCACCAAAGCCTGCGCCATCGCCTATGACCAGCTGCGGCGACCCGCGACGCCTCGCGCTCCTCCTGCCCAGCAGCACGCCGACTACCAGCGCGACCAGCACGAGCCCGAGCTGCACCTCCAGCCTGAAGGTGAACGTCGAGTTAGTTCCTGTCGCACACTCTGGCCCCTGCAACTGCTGAGCCACCAGGCGCTCGAGCGCCGCACACTCTGCCGCCTCGCCTGAACCCAGGCACTGGCACACGCAAGGTGGACAACTGTTCCGCGATGTCGCAGAACCGCCGATCAGACTGTACAGACCGAAGAGAGTATCCGTGGTGAGTGTGTAGAACAGCAGGGATCTACCTGCATGCGGACCAGGGAGCCCCTCTGAGCCACACGCGCTACGGAAGCAGGCTGAAGCAAGACGTGCACGCACTAATATCATCATCATCATCATCATCATCATCATCATCATCATCATCATCATCATCATCATCATCATCATCATCATCATCATCATCATCATCATCATCATCATCATCATCATCATCATCATCATCATCATCATCATCATCATCATCATCATCATCATCATCATCATCATCATCATCATCATCATCATCATCATCATCATCATCATCATCATCATCATCATGACATCATCATCATCATCATCATCATCATCATCATCATCATCATCATCATCATCATCATAATCAGAATCATCATCATCATCGTCATCAGCATCATCAGAATCATCATCATCAGCATCATCATCATCGTCATCGTCATCATCATGATCATCAGCATCATCATCATCATCATCATCATCATCATCATCATCATCATCGTCATCCTCATCATCATCCTCCTCCTCATCATCATCATCATCGTCATCGCACGCACACGCACACACAAACCGTCATCTTAAGGACATTCCGAACGGGAGCCCCGTCTGTGAGTGAATCGCACGGAAGTCTCAGGCGGGAGCCCCCTCCCTACGGAGCCCGCAGATCGAGTCCGAACGGGCCATCCGAATCCTGTAACTGTCGTCACGTTCGGGCCCTGCTTGCGGGAGCCTCTTGCGGGAGCCTCGTCCGGGAGTGCGTGAGCATCGTCCGTGAGTGAATTGTGAGGAAGTATCGGGCGGAAGCACCCTCTCTATAGGTTGGCGGCGTGCACAAAGGGGTGGAGGGAAGGGGGAGGGTTTATAACGGAGACTGCTCCTTAGAAGGCACCAGCCTTACATCTATAGAGAAGGCCCGCGCCTTTTGAGAAGCAGGGGTGCTTCTAAGAAGCCCTCCCCCCTCCCCCCACCCCCCTCTGCGCGTGGCTGAATAGGGCCCGCACCTCTCGTTTTCAATCCGAGCGGGCAATCGGAATCCTGCAACGCGAGGAAGTCTTGGGCGGGAGCCCCCTCCCGAGGGGGCCACGCTTATATTGGAGGACGCTTCGGCCAGGAACTGTCGAGCGGGGCCTCGTGCGAAAAACATTCTCTGCGGGCTGGTGCGAGCATCCGGCGAGATTAGTTGGATCCTCGTTCCTGCCTTCTTCTTTCCCGAGACCTACGATGTTGTGTTTTTGGTCGTCGTCCTGCCTGGTTGGAGAGGGAACCTGAAAAGGCTCCCGCTCCAGCCGCGGGAGAAGGAACGTGCAAAAGCGCCCTCTCCCGCGTTCGTTTGCCTGGAGATGGAACCTATCAAGGCTCCCGCTCTAGTCGCGGGAAAGGGAACCTGCCACCACACCACATAGGTTGCACAACATATATTGCACAACATGTACTGCGACACGTAGGTTGTTTCACATCTATTGCACCACATCGGCCGCACCACTCGAAGTGCATAACATAGATGGCACACATTGTTTTACACAATATAGATTGCACCACATAGATTGCAACACCTAGATTGCTCCACATCGATGGCGCAACCTATATTGTGCCTCATTAATCGAAACACTTGTACTGCCCCACGTAGATTGTACAACATAGGCTGCAGCACCTGATTTGCAAAAATCATGTACTGTTATGAACACATTATTTTGAATCAGCGTTGCCTAACACATATATATATATGCATAAGTATAAATTAATATATACATGAGCATAGATGTATACATGTGTATATTAAAGGGAAAAACCTGTGTGCACACATATATATATATATATATGTATACAAACGTATTCAATCACACACACACACACACACACACACACTCTGGCGTCGCGGCCATGCACGCGGCGACGCGGCGTGGATCAAATCGGGCGGGAGCACGCGGACCGAGCCAGCTACACACGCACCCACGCTCACATACACACACAAGAGAATCCTTGGCCAGCATGGGGTGCGGTAAGGGCCGCGGCGTGGGCGGAGAAGAGGCGGTCCACCTGCTTTTGCAGCTCCGACAGATCCTCCTGCGGCAGGGCTCGAAAAGATGGTGTGGCCGCACATCCATGCAACATACATACCGCATAGACCACCCTCTTGGGTGATAAAGGGGTTTGGGGGGGTTAACGCACCTTTGATTCGCATTGGATTCATAATCCAGAACACGAGACGAAACACATCGAAGTAAAAAGCTGAATGTGCATGTGCATATTTACATGTGTAGATGTACCCAGATGTATCCTTATTTTTTCATGCATATCAAATGGATCATTACGTCCCGATGTCTCGGCCGTACAATCGTTGTATCGCGAGAAAGATCCCGACACCCAACGGGGCAACCACCGGGGCAACATGTATGATGATTGGTATAAAAACGTACGTTAATCACGGTTGACCCCAAACTTGCGTTTCTAGAAATCTTCGTGGCGAAAAAATGTGGAGCAACAAATGTTGTGCAACCGGCGTGGCGCAATGTATGGAATGCAACCAACGTTGTGTAACAGATGTGGTGCGATCTATGCTGTGCCATATATCATGCGACCCATATCGTGCAATATATGCAGGGCAGTATATGCTGGGCAACCTGTGTAGCGCGCAATTTCCGTGGTACAATATATGTAGTACAATATTTGTGGTGCAAGCTATGTGGTGCCACATATGTGGTGCGACTCGCTTGCCGAACTTGAAGTTGTCCACCCCATTGCTCGTGCGATCAGCCCACCCACCCACCCGCAACTTAGCTTGCAAAACCCATGCGGGAAACGATTGCGATGAGTGCTTGGTGTTGGCTGGTGCATCTCTGCGGCCGCGCTGGCCCGCGTATGCTCGCGCGCGCAGCGGCCACCTACTTTGGCGCGACCGACACGAACGCGGTGGCGTTGACCGCTCGGCACATCCAAACGGGCACTTCAGTGCGAGTCGGCAAATTGGGCGGGCGCGGGATCATGACAACGTCGACAACGGTAGACACGATAATGATAGCAGCGATGCTGGTGACGATGCTAACTGCGACGACGGGGCAGCCAGTGACGGCGCCGATGCTGATCACGCCGACGACGATGACGGCGTCTTCGCGTCGGTGGTGAAGGTGTTGGAAGGAGTTCGAAATGCGCGCGCGGCAGACGTGCGAGAGTGGCCCGCATTGTATTATTTGACACCGATATTGCCCCTCCCCCCCAGCACGCGCGCACGGGCGTGCGAATGATGTAAGCATGCGGTGCGAGAGGCCCTTTTGGCAGAATTCCAGGAACAGGTTGGAAAACCTATGGTTTTCTCCATACTTCGCAAGAGCGTGAGCGCACGCTTGTTTGAAAAGTGTTGGTGCGAAGCCATATGTCTTGTATGTGTTTGGGCACTCGGTTTTGAAATTGCTGCGAAACCGAAGGTTTTAACTGATTTTGGCATGCGCGCGCGACGACGCGCACGCGCACTTCTTCCCACCTGTTGCAAAGGATTCTCGCGACGGCACGCGCGCAAGGGCGTTCGAACGATTTCGATTCCCAGCAGTTACCAACTGCTCTAGCGATGCTCCAAGTCTCCCCACAGCCTGTCCATTCCCTCCCCGCTATGGGCAATGCTCTGCACATGTGTTTTCTCTCCATGGTCAAGAAATATGAGAAATCCCAAAAACCATTGCTGCGTCGTGTCTGTCCGACACTTTCAGGACCATTGTTTCCCCGCCCCAAATGAGGCGGATCAAACTTGAAACCGTTCAAAATTATGTGTTCCTTCCACCCGGTCCTGCTGTCTGAAGATCCCCGTTTTGGCTTGAACGCGATATGTACGGCTCATCGTGTCTATTGCGATGTCGGATGGACCTGTCAAACCTCTGATCTCGACGATGCCATTCACGTACATGTTGACGTCCGTACCTTCGAGCCGGAACTTCACCTCGTCAAAGTTTTCGTCCGTGAAGCAAGGGTCCGCGACACGCTCGAACTCGTTGTTACCGCCAATGACATCAGCACCTGGTACACACGGCAGACCCATCGCGGAAGCTTGTTCACTTTCTGCAGGTTCGTTTCCCATCTGTCTCGCTGCCGACCTTTTCTTTCCTGATCTGTAACGCAACACTCCACAAATAAGCGCGAATGCAGCTGATATGCCGATGGCCTGTAGCGCGATCTCCCTAGCCGCTTCAATAACGGCGTCCTCGTCCATGCAAGTGCACATAGCGTACCTTACACCAGTGCACGGAGTATCACAATTGCCATTCTCTTCCTTGTGCCCATAAAGGCACTTGGATACCGACTGATTCCCATCAAAGAAGCCACTGCACTCGAACGTCCCGCTGCAACGACTGGCAGAAGCCAGGCGGCGAGAACCAGCACGGGGGTAGAAGAGTCGGCGAGGGCTCTCGGCACCAGCACGGTCCGACAAAGAGGCAAAGACAGCGAGAGTGCCCAAGATGAGGCGGCCAGCCATTCAGAGAGGAAAGAAGGCGTCCGAGCTCAGAGCGTCAGACTGGATGCTGAATGCTACGGCCACAGAGGCCTACGAACCAACCAAAAAAAAAGGCGCAACGTGAGCCAATGCTTGAAATGAGCTCGGGCCGCTGGGCGGACGCGGGCGCGACGCGCCCCATGGCGAGGCTTGCCAGGCGGCCTGGAACCTCGCGGGTAGGCCCAGGGCCGAGGGTGAGAGCACTGGACAGGGAACCGTTGGATAAGGAATCCGGCGCCCAGAAGCTGGTGGAACTTCCATCGTGGATTGGCCATGGACATCACCGCCGCCCTTCATCAGATACAAAATCCCTCAGGGTCTGAAGCCTCCTCTGCACATTCCTCAACGACAGCCCCCACTGCAGTGGAAACAAAGGGTCGACATGCTCAGCGACTGCGACAAGACTGGGCGCCGAGGCCAATTGGCCCGCCGCCGCGCTCACGGCACGCAGTGGAGTCCCCTCAGAGCCTCAGTGACCCCTGGCGTTGAGTATAAGAGGGTGGGGATCCTCTCGTGTGCACATTCCTCAACGACGCCCCCCACCGTAGTGGAAACAAAGGATCGACATGCTCAGCGGCTGCGACAAGACTGGGCCGAGGCCAATCAGCCCGCCACCGCGCCCACGACGCGCAGTGGAGTCTCCTCAGATCCTCGGTGACCCCTGGCGTTGAGCATGAGAGGGTGGGGATCCTCTCGATGATCCTCAGAACGCGTGCTAGCGCCAACGTATCAGCTTGTCCATCGAAGCCCTCAAATACGACGCAGGCGGTGCAATGAAGGCCAGAAGAAGCTGCGTGATGTCGGCTGAGCGGAACGGGGTAAATTCACACTGGGCTTACACACGTCCTGAGTGAGGGCAATCGACCCTCGTAAAGCCCAAGATCCCCGATTCCCAAACGACTCCGGGAAGTTGTGGGCGCTTTCCGGGCCTCGAAAGCATGCTGAGAATCTAAACTTCAAACGCTTCCCAAGAAGGCCCCAGGGGGCCCGTCTTGGAGCCCTCTTGGGGATCTCTAGGGCCGTCTTGTGCGCCCCAGTGGTGCGCCCTTGGGCCCTGGTGGTCCCGTGGTCCCGTTTTTGTGGGAACGTCGCGCTTTCCTTGACAAAACCATCGATACCTAAGAAACCCAAGGCACCGTGGAGGCAAGCAGGGTGTTTCTTGGCATGGGCCTCCACTGTAATCAAGTTACTACCATACGGAGCGCTGGATAATGAACGAAGCCCCCTCTTGGCTTACAGAAGCGCCTGGGTACACGAGAAGCGCTGGAGGAACAGCCGTGGAAGGACCTGAGGAGAGCCCTCCCAACCCGAAATGTTCCTTGAACCGTCCTCTTGACTGTATCGCCTACTCGATTTTGAGAGGGTCCAAGACGGCCCAATTGGCTGCCAAGACCAACCCAGCGCCCCTAGAGGCACCAAACGGGCCCCCAAGACGGCCACAAGAGTGGCCCAAAAGACCCCGCGAACGGGACCCCCAGAGCCCTCCTCCCCAAGGTGGCCCCAAGACTAGACGTCCCCAAGAGGCCCCCCCCAAGGTGGGCCCCCAATTTGGCCCCCCCTGAGGCCCACCTCCTAGCACCTGGCAGTGTTCCCGCCCGTGCTCCCGCTGCGACTTGGGCCCACAACCAGGGCACGAGCACAAGCTGAAAGTGGTTGCCCAGACTAATACACGTCGAGCAGGGAGATGTCAGAAACAATGTTAGGGGCAAGTCCGAAAGATGAGACAGTCCACACTGGGCGCGCATAATCATTCAGTCACACTACTGTGCCTTTGAGAACGTGAACCGACTGCGCTGAACAAGCCTACCTGAACACAAATGTGTTCCTGCATGTGTTGAACAACTTCGCTGGACAACCGTGCGCAAACCGCTTGGAAACCAACGACGGCGACGACGACGACGCCGCCGCCGACGACGACGACAGGGGCTCGTCCCCCGAGCGCCGCCCCTACCTCCAGAGGGCCCCCATCTGGGCGGCCCGGCGCCTCTCCCCGGGGCCCTGCGGAGGAGGAGGAGGGAGGGAGGAGGAGGAGGAGGAGGAGGAGGAGGAGGAGGAGGAAAGCCCATTTGGCCTCTGGCGATCTGGGCCTGCGACCGATCGCTCGGTCAGGGTCGATCGGCGCCAGCCGCCCGATCGATCCCGCCTCGCAGGCCGATCGCGAGGCCGGGCTCCGCGCGCCGCGGATCGGCGATTCGCCGCCCGCTGCCGCGCCCTGGCCCCCCGCCTGGCGGCTGCCGCGCGCCTCGGCGCGCCCAGGAGAGGCCCGACGCCCGAGCCCGCCTGGCACAGGCGGCAGAGGGAGCGCCGGGCGTCGGCGCGGGCCCTCCTGCGCGTCTTGAGGGCTGCCGACACCCTGGCCAGCCACCACTCGGCGCAGAAGCACCAGCGCGACCAGCAGTACGAGCTGCAGGACTTCGAGACCAGCAAGATGGCGACCAATACGAAGTCTCACGGCCATCCAGTGGGGGCCAAGCCGTGGCCATGGAGGTCAAGTACGCCAGCATCTGGATCCTCTCATCGCCGACACAATGGAGGGCATGGACAGCAGCAGCCACGGTACCAGCACCAGCACAACCAGCACCACCACAACTCCCAACACGACGAGGATCGACAGCAGCACAACGACGCCCATCATCAACAGAAGTATCAGTACGACTCCACGACATCGAGAACGAAGCGGACTCCATCAAGGAGACGCTACCAGGCCCCCGAAGACGCCACCAACGATCACCGACATCTGCCAAAGCTTACGAAACGACAGCTGGAGGTCACTGACAAAATAATGCCCGCCCTGCTTTCGGAGGCCAAGGGACACGAGAGCTTTTCTCTTCCCCCCGACGAGCCAGACATACGTCGGGTATGGCACGCCACCAAGGTGGCGAGGATGGCACGTCTCGCTGACCAAGTACACGGAGCCAGGCAAGCACAAGTCGACCCAACCCGCCTCATCGAGGAGCTAGCCATAGTCAAGACCATGATCCACCTGCTGGACACACCGACGGCTCGCATCGCACAATACAGATCCCAAGTGGAGTCACGAATCCAGAGACAGCAGACCGTCGAGAGCCAGCTCAACGACCTCAATAAGGAGCACGACGAAATCAAAGGCGAGATCGCATCCCTCAAGGCACTCATCTCCGAGGCCAAGAAGTATCGAGAACACGCTGAACTTTACGAAGACAGCTGTGACGGAGACGGTGAAGACGACGGGCGCCATCGAGTCAGAGGCAAGACACCACACCCCGAGAGACGACAACGACCACCATCTCGTCAACCCGCGTCTGAGCCAGTGCCTGCTCCGACCACCAACGACGGCAGCGACCTACGGAACCTCATCGACGTGCTGACGAGGAGAGTGGACGAGCAGCAGCGCAACCACGGTATACACCAACACCATCTGGCGTTTCTCCATCATGAACGAGCTGAATCCGAACAACACGAAGCACAGCGTCAACGGCAGACCGAGCAGATTCAGGAGCTTTCGCAACACCTACAGCACTGCCAGGAACAACTTCAGCAGGCACAAACCCAGCAGAGACAGTCGTACTACGACGAGATCCAAGCCTTCCGACAACGCGAGGAGCGGCTCCGACACGAGGCTCAAGAATCCATCACGGAGAACATGGCTCACTACCAGCAGAAGGAGGCCCACCTGCGAGACCAGCTCAGGGAGGAGGAGTCAGCTCACCTCGCCACTTTCATCATCCAGAGGAGGCAAGAGGAAGAGACTTTCCGACACCAGCTACAGGAGAATGCTGAGATCATGGTCAAACAATATCAACAACGATGCCACGAACAACAGCAGCGTCTTCTCTCTGAGAAAGCTCAGGCCCAGCAGGACATCAGCAACATCGCGAGGCTTGAACAGAACCAGATACAGGATGCTAAGGAGCTACTCTTGGAGGAGTTCGGACAAGTACAGGCTCAGAAGTACCGCACCATGATGGCCCAGAGCGAGTACAACAGCGAGATCGACAAGCTTCGAGGCTCTTCCAGCGACATGCAACGCTTCGAGAACGAACTCCAGGAGCAGCACCAACTCCAACTACAGGAGCACCTTCAGCAACATAGACAGGAGCGCGAGCGACTGCATTGCGAACTACGGCAAGCCCACGAGTTCGGCACCAGCATCGACGTGGACATCCTCAGGGAGCTCGACACACAACTCCAAGAACGAGACGAGGAAGACGCACGACTGCAAGCCCAAGCAGATGCTGAACAAGCACAGATCGACAAACAGGTTCAAGCGGCACTCCACCTGCTGACCCCACCGTCTTCCTCTGATGACTCGGGCTATCAACTATACCTCAGAAACCGCGGCAGCAGCAGCGGAGGACAGCCCAGCAACAGCGGACAGCGCAGCAGCACACCACCACCACGTTGTGAAGGAATGCCCCGCCAGATTTCGATTCCCGCGCTTCCGCCTCGACCGACACCTGCGATGCCAACCGCCACTCCCACTGCGAGACGCCCATGCCACGACGCCGACGACGCCAGCGTGCACACCCCAATCCCAGCCGACGACGACGACCTTTGCAGCCCAACCCCTGTTGCGAGTGACGCATATCCCTTCCCTGTCCCCACGCCTTTACCCACCCCCGCCTCGCTTACGCCGATCCCCACCGAGCAGCATACGCCCATCGGCTTCCACCCACCCGACCCGCAAAATGACCGACCCAGCTCAGCGCCACCACCACGCACCAGAAGGACAGACTCAACCAAGCACAACCACCCATCCACTACTCTTCTCATTGACATCACTTCCGATGACGACGCACCACCACCCTCCACCCCAGTGCGCATTCCACTGGCCGACATATCCCCTACCGCACCGATGCAGCCAATCCAACCACCACCCCGCTTCCACCTCGCCACGCCCGACCGCGCCACCTCTGCCCCCCCGCCCCGCACCGCCCTCCGAAAAAACGGATCATCTAAACGAGCGACCATGCCCAAGAAAGTCCGTATCTGCGACATCGGAG